CGAGAAGCTCAGTTTTTGTCAGGTTGAGCTGCAGGTGATGTTCCTTCATCCATGCTGAGATGTCAGCCAGACAGCTTGAGATTCGAGCAGCTACTGTAGGATAATCTGGTTGAAATGAGAGGTAGAGCTGAGTGTCATCAGCATAGCAATGGTAAGAGAAACCATGTGCCTGTATGATGGGTCCCAGTGATGTGGTGTAAATGGAGAAGAGGAGTGGTCCAAGAACTGAGCCCTGGGGAACCCCTGTGCTTTGGATACCTCGCCTCTCCATGCGACCCTGAAGGACCTACCTGTGAGATAGGATTCAAACCAGTGGAGGGCAGTTCCAGTGATGCCTAGTGATGAGAGAGTGGGCATAAGGATCTGATGATTCACAGTGTCGAAGGCAGCAGACAGGTCCAGGAGAATGAGAACTGATGATTTGGAAGCAGCTTTTGCGATCCACAGGGCTTCTGTGACCGATAGTAATGCGGTCTCGGTTGAATGCCCTTTCTTGAAGCCAGATTGGTTGACATCCAGCTGGTTGGTCAGAGACAGGAAAGATGATACTTGGTTGAAAGCAACTCGTTCAAGTGTTTTCGCAATGAATGGTAGGAGAGAGATAGGTCTGTAATTCTCTAAAAGTGGTTGGTTTTTTAAGCAGTGGAGTTACCCGAGCCTGCTTAAATGCTGTAGGAAAAGTGCCAGAGTGTAGGGATGAGTTGATATGTGTGTGAGAGTAGGTAGAAGTGTGGGAGAGATGGCTTGTAGAAGGTGTGAGGGGATGGGGTCTAGAGGGCAGGTGGTAGGATGACTGGAGAGGAGAAGTTTAGATACTTCTTCCTCGGTTAGTGGAGAGAAGGAGGAGAGAAGGTTATTGGCTGTGGGAGTGGTTGGTCTAGGTTCCTGTGTGTGTGGATTAGAGAACTGACTGCTGATAGTTGTTGTTTTGTTGGTGAAGAAGTTAGCAAAGTCATCAGCAGTTAGTGAGGAGGTGGGTGGTGGTGGAGGTGGACAGAGGAGAGAGTTGAATGTCTTGAAAAGTGTTCGTGTGTTAGGGGCGGTGTTGATCTTGTTGTGGAGGTATGAAGATTTTGCAGCGTGAACATCAACAGAAAAAGCAGAGAGCAGAGATTGATACATACTCAGGTCAGATGTATCATTCGATTTGCGCCATTTTCTCTCCGCTGCTCTGAGTTTGGTCCGGTGTTCACGAAGAACCTCAGATAACCAAGGGTTAGAGGGAGTGGCGCGCGCTGGCCTGGAGGAGAGAGGGCAGATAGTGTCTAAAGAAGAAGTTAAAGTGGAGCATAAAGTATCCGTTGTGGTCTTCACATCCAGAGATGAGAATTTTGAGGGTGAGGGAAGAGAGGAAGACACAGCAGAGGAAAGATGGGAGGGAGAAAGTGAGCAGAGGTTTCGTCTGAAAGTGACTGGTAGGGGAGTTGTATGGAAGTAAAATAATGTCAAATGTTTTTGAATTAAAAGCCTGTTGAATTGCACTACTTGAAAAAAAATAGGCATTGCATTAACCATGCTTGCATTTTTATGCATTGTATTTTTAGGGCTTGAATTTTTATGGGCTGAAATTTAGCATGGTTGAATATTTAAGCTGTGAATATTTCAATTAAAAACATTTCAAACACATTTTCATTATTAAAAATTCAATAATCCATATTCACCATTCATATTTCATTTCCAAAATATTCAAACTGTTTAAAAATACAACCAATAATATTCAACAGGCAATTTTCGGTCCATTTTATTTCGCTTTTCAAATTCGCTTCCACAAATTCAGTGGTTCAAATTCGACAGTAAATTCAACATTGACGTCCAGGAACTGCAGGAAAAGCAGAAAATTGCCGAGCATACTCTCCATCTGCTGTTAGTCGATCTCACCAGCAGGGGGTGCAAAAGCACGTGTTGTTGACGAAGACCAGCAAAATTAGAGCAAGTCATTCATTCATAAAACTCATTTACAGCAATGTAAGTTTATTTGTGATTATTATGACGGCTGTTTTTGTTAAATTCGGTGCCTTCACGGTTACTTTTCCTGTGTAGCCTACATGCATATTTCTCTACCGTGAACGAGATCATAATTTTATTCCCCGATGCGGATATACAGATCCAATGTTACATTTTTGAGGTTGACATATATTCTCTTGGTTGTTTAGTTGCCTTAACTTTATATTGTGGCGATGTGCTGCATGCAGGCTATTAGGGTTTCCCTCAATAGCTGGGTTTCAGTCACGTGATTATGATGACGCGCGAAATTCAGATGGAGGGCAGGGAGCGAAGAGCGCAATGGACGAGATGGAGGAAAGTCCGTACTGTACTACTTTACACACTATTACAAGAGAAAGAAATAAACAAAAAATCAAACATATGTTGGACGTGATCCTTACGTTATGAAGAGGAGCGATTTTTCAACTGAATTTAAAGATTTTCCTGCTATCGAGGCGGTAGATATCAGCAACTACCTCGTCTTACAGACATACTTTGACTTTACAAAGTTCGGAAACGTTACACAAACATAGCCACTTAAGTTGCATTAACTCACCTTTGACGAAGTGATCACTGCACACACGGGTATTTTCCCATTCGGCTCCTCCCGACCGCAGACGTAGGTTTGCAAGCCGTTTTTCCGGAGTTTTTCGGTCAATTTCTTGCATTTTCCCCCCTTATGAACAACAACTTTTGGTACACGATAAATGATCGATTTAAGAAACCATAAACGACGCAAAACATAGGCATTTTGAGTTTGTTATAGTGCTTTCTAAATACAGCAAATCACTTCCTGCCCTCCATTTGCATTTCGCGCCATGGCAACGCAGTGGCGTGACGTCATATGAAAACAAGCTATACTTCAGGATTCCCCTGCTGGACATATACACTTAACGTAGCTTAATGGACTAGTGATGTAAAAGTCCAAACTCACAGGCAAGCAGAAGGACTCAGAATAACGCGCACAACTAAGCGTTTCAGTGATAGACTTGATGTTGGACATTCGCACATTTAGGGACCGTCTCTAAAGTGTATACGACTTTGGTATACACGTTTCTAACTTCAATAACATTTGAATAGAACGACTTACAGTCATAAAACCAACTGTAAGTGTTCATGTAGTGTCAGGCATAATGCGCACCCTTTGGATTTTTGATATTTATTCAAATAAATTTAAGTTTGCTATTGAAGTTAGAAACGTACATGCCAATGTTGTATGCAACTTTAGAGACGGTCCCTAAATGTGCGAATGTCCTATGTCAAGCCAATTTTACATTTAGTCATTTAGCAGACGCTTTTATCCAAAGTGATTTACCGTTAAACTAACAATAGGAGGTTAAACTAACAATAGGAGGACAACAATATGCAAGTGCTATGATCCCAGTTTAAGCTAATGCAATACACGTGGGCATTTTAGGACTTATATATATATATATATATATATATATAGAGAGAGAGAGAGAGAGAGAGAGAGAGAGAGAGAGAGAGAGAGAGAGAGAGAGAGAGAGAGAGAGAGAGAGAGAGAGAGAGAGAGAGAATAGAAAGTGTTAGTATTAATTGATCAAGTGTTGATTTTATGCCAGTATATCACGAAACGCTCAGCATGAAACTGCGCGTAAAGTTTATTATCTGAGTCCATCTTCTTGCCTGTAGCCTATATAGTAGCCTACAGCCTACATCCCCAATAAGGTGCAAGATTGGTCTTTCATATCACTGTATGTGTTAAGCGTTTTGTCCCAACGGAAAGGGAATCCTTGAGTATGAGGTATTGAGGGAAACCGATTATAATCCTGTTCATGGTAGAGAAAGCTGATGACATGTAGAATACACAGGCAAAGTAACAATGAAGTTATTGAATGAAACATAAACACAGCTTTTGTGTGTTTATCATCTTTTCCGCATATACTGTCACAGATAATCATTTCCATTTTATGAATGAATGTCTTCGTCAACAACAAGCGCTGTTGCACCCCCTGCTGGTGAGGTCGACTAACAGCAGATGGAGAGTATGCTCGGCAATCTACTGCTTTTCCTGCAGTTCCTGGACGTCAATGTTGAATTTACTGTCGAATTTGAACCACTGAATTTGTGGAAGCGAATTTGAAAAGCGAAATAAAATGGACCGAAAATTGCCTGTTGAATATTATTGGTTGTATTTTTAAACAGTTTGAATATTTTGGAAATGAAATATGAAAGGTGAATATGGATTATTGAATTTTTAATAATGAAAATGTGTTTGAAATGTTTTTATATTCAGCTTAAATATTCAACCATGCTAAATTTCAGCCCATAAAAATGCAAGCCCTAAAAATACAATGCATAAAAATGCAAGCATGGTTAATGTAATGCCTATTTTTTTTTTCAAGTAGTGCAATTCAACAGGCTTTTTATTTCAAAAACATTTGACATTATTTTACTTCCATACGTTGGTGGAGTGTGGATAGTGAGTTGCAGATTGAAAGTAATGAGGAAATGATCTGAAACGTGGAGAGGTTTTTGAAACCTCTCCAATATTTTTGTCTGGATTCTTTGATGAATAGAAAAGGTAAAAAGAACAGCATTTATTTGAAATAGAAATCTTTTGTAACAATATCAATGTTTTTACTGTCCTTTTTGATCAATTTAATGCGTTCTTGCTGAATAAAAGTATATTATTATTATTATTATTATTATTATATAGTACTTGCCCCAAACCTTTGAATGGTAGTGATAATTGTTTCCACAAAAAACACCAAAAAATAATATAAAAAAGTGAAGCAGCACAATTATTTATAATATTCAGAAATGTTTTTTTGATCAGACACTGAAGACTGGAGTAATGATGCTGGAAATTCAGATTTGATCACAGGAATAAATACAATTTTTGATGAAATAAATACAGATAAATGCAGAATTGTGTCGGCAGAAGAGACTTCTTTCAGAAACATGAAAAAACTCTTAATGTTTCCAAACCTTTGACTGGTACTGTACCTACAATCTTTATGTTTGTTTAAGAACATTTTGTCTTTTCATCTTAGGTGGTTCAGAGCTCAACATTGATGTTGAAAATGGCACAAGCGTCCACATTTACACTAGTGCGACTGCTGGCGTAAACACACAGTGCCAGGTTTGTGTACGCCAGGTGTGCCAGTCTTCTGTGGTCCTCGACAGCGACACGCATGTGAATTTCAGCTGTTCAGAGCCAGAGAACGAGTTCACCGTGCAGATCATCAGAGACGAGCCTGGTGAGAGCTGTCAGATAAAAATAATACTTTTACTCCTTACATTTTTCATTAAGACAAGCATATTTAACTGGTCATTAAGACAAAACATGTATTCAAAGATTTGTTTAAATTATGTATGCAAATTTGCGAAATGCTGACCATAAATGAAAAGTAGTATAATGTTTGCCATTCTATTACTAATGATATAAAAGCAAACACTATAATACTTTTTTTTATACAGTTTAATTTCTTTCTTTAACAGTTCTATCTATAATAAACAGAGACCGTCACTGCACCCGAAACCACATATTGGTGCTAAATTTTCATTTTAATGAACTCCGTGACCGTTAAAGTATGTTCTATATAGTATGAAAATGGGTAGTATGCATGAAATGAGTGTGACCCCTAAATGAGGAGCACCAGAGGGTTAAATTAAACATGTGCTCTTATTGTCACCTTAATAAATCTACTGGGTCTTTCTCTGACATGACACATTTGTTCAACAGTCATATCAGACATTGAACCCCCAAAACACCTTGCCATTCAAAAGTTCAATCGGACCTTCACCTGGAATCTGAATCCTCCTGCTACAAAGACACTCCACTTGAGTTTCAGTACGACTGGTTTACGGCAGATTGAGCTGACAGACGGCTGCCCAGACGAGCACGTTTACATGCTCACAGCGGAGAATGTCACTGTTGGGAGGTTTTGTCAGAGTGGAACTATTACACAAATCGATGCGTGTCAAGTTGGAAAACTGTCTTTGGAGGTGTCAGGAGGTCAACCTCTGGACGTGAAAGCTATCGGCGTATCTCAGGGATATGCCATTAAAGGTAAAGCTTATATATTTAAGCACAAATTGTCTAAACAAAGTTGTCATATGTGAATTGTTGAATTTTCTTTATTTTACAGCACTGGTTAGAATTCATGTTGTTCTCCCAGAGAGGAGTTCAACCCAGGATTTCTTCACCCCAAACACTTTCCCTGAAAATATGCAGATAATTTGGTATTTCAAAGTGCCCCAGGCGTACTACGCAGATGTTCGCATTCTGAGACACACTGCCTCCCATCTGAAACCATCCCTAGAATGAGGTACTTTTGGCCTCGCACGAAGAATCTGCTAATTCTGATGAATGAAAGCCAGCCAATGGTGGAGCCTGGTGACTTTTATCTCTACATAAGGAACTGCGACATGTCCTGGCCATCGCAAGGCCTAATGGTCCACTTTCAGGTCGCTGCCATCACAAGGACAAAGGGTAGGTAACATTTTTAATACAAGATGTTAATAGATTATGTTAACAAAATACAGGTGAAACTCCAAAAATTAGAATATCATGCAAACGTTATAATTTTGATGATTATGTCTTACAGCTTAAGAAAACCCCAAATTCAAAATATCAGAAAATTAGAATATTACATGAAATCAATAAAAAAAAAGGATTTTACATACAGAAATGTCGGCCCTCTGAAAAGTATAATCAATACTTTTGCATGTTATTTTTTATGTAGTACCGTCCTGAGTAAGCTGTTTCACGCAACAGATGTTTATATATAGTCCACGTTACAAAATAATAACTGGATTTACACAAATGAACCAGTTCAAAAGTTTACATACTCTTGATTCTTGATACTGTGTGTCTTTACCTGGATGATCAAGTCAAGTCACCTTTATTTATATATCACTTTATACAATACAGATAGTTTCAAAACAGCTTTACAGTGAAAATGATGCATTTTCGGCTGTTGTTCAGCTGAAGTCAGTTCAGTGTTGATTTAGATCATCAATTCAATTAGTTAATTTAATCTATTAAGCAGTTCTGCAAAAAATTATGTTATCATCCAGCTCAGTTCAGTTCTAATACAGCAGCGTCATTATAGTCAGATCAATAATATTGTTAAATTTTTATGGTTTTATGTTTGTGATGCTTATTCATGAGTCCCTTGTTTGTCCTGAACCGTTAAACTGCCCAATGTTCTTCAAATAAATCCTGCAGATCCTTCACACTCTTTAGTTTTCCAGCATCTTCTGCATATTTGAACCCTTTCCAACAGTGACTGTATGATTTTGAGATCCATCTTTTCACACTGGGGACAATTGAAGGATTCAAACACAACTATTAACAACTATGCTCATTTATGCAAGTTTTTCACCTTGTTACACTTGTGTTGTTCCTGGTCAAAACTGACCGGCCTACAAAAAATAGCTTATCACTTGTTATGCTATATTATGCTATATTATCACCCAATATTGGATTCAATCTTTTTGTCAACTTGTTTTCTTTCATTTAGGACTGGTTTTATATTCCTATTTGCATCTGATTAATCGTAGGCCTCATTTATCTCAGAGTAGGCATCTAATTTTTTGAGAAAAAAAAAAACATTATTTTTGAATAATTTTGGTAATATTAAATAAAATAAGAAGAAAATTGCCACTGTTGATCACACTAGTCTACTTTATTTTTTCACCAGGAAGTTTGATTTGAAAAACTTTTATTTTGTACAAAATGGCACATAGTCACACTTGTGGTGTTCCCGGTCAAAAATGACGGCCTACAAAAAATAGCTTATAAATCACTTGTTATGCTATATTATCATCATAACTAATGTAGTCCATGCAGCTATGCCTGGGCAGAGTGGGGAGAGCAGCAAATCAAACCCCCTGGGGTACAGAACAGAACCAGTATATGCATACATAATTGCACAATTTCACAAAAGAGTAAGAGCCACATTACATGAGTTGTGGAAATACAAATACATGATAGAAAATGTTTTCAATGTAGTGAATTGTATGAAAAAAAAAAAAGTCAGATTGATTACAGGAACGGTTGGGCGGAGTTGGGGTTGGAGGAGGGAGTTTGATTTGCAAGCAGCGATGCGATAGAGGAGATGCTGAAGGAATGGGAATTTAAATGGGCCACTGTGATAGGTGTTGAAACTGGATTGGTAAACGCCAGGAACAGCTGGCTATCAGCTAATGCGAGCTCGGCTGACGTGGCGTTGGGCCTGCCTGAACCTTTTTTCATCCTGCCATTTAGAAGCTATACATGACATACAGGTTTTTTCTCAAAAAATTAGCATATTGTGATAAAGTTAATTATTTTCCATAATGTAATGATAAAAATTAAACTTTCATATATTTTAGATTCATTTCACACCAACTGAAATATTTCAGGTCTTTTATTGTTTTAATACTGATGATTTTGGCATACAGCTCATGAAAACCCCAAATTCCTGTCTCAAAAAATTAGCATACTTCATCCGACCAATAAAATAAGTTTTTTTAATAAAAAAAAAAAAAAAAGTCAACCTTCAAATAATTATGTTCAGTTATGCACTCAATAGTCAATACTTGGTCGGGAATCCTTTTTCAGAAATGACTGCTTCAATGCGGCGTGGCATGGAGGCAATCAGCCTGTGGCACTGCTGAGGTGTTATGGAGGCCCAGGATGCTTCGATAGCGGCCTTAAGCTCATCCAGAGTGTTGGGTCTTGCGTCTCTCAACTTTCTCTTAACAATATCCCACAGATTCTCTATGGGGTTCAGGTCAGGAGAGCTGGCAGGCCAATTGAGCACAGTAATACCATGGTCAGTAAACCATTTACCAGTGGTTTTGGCACTGTGAGCAGGTGCCAGGTCGTGCTGAAAAATGAAATCTTCATCTCCATAAAGCTTTTCAGCAGATGGAAGCATGAAGTGCTCCAAAATCTCCTGATAGCTAGCTGCATTGACCCTGCCCTTGATAAAACACAGTGCACCAACACCAGCAGCTGACATGGCACCCCAGACCATCACTGACTGTGGGTACTTGACACTGGACTTCAGGCATTTTGGCATTTCCTTCTCCCCAGTCTTCCTCCAGACTCTGGCACCTTGATTTCCGAATGACATGCAAAACTGAGCAACAGTCCAGTGCTGCTTCTCTGTAGCCCAGGTCAGGCGCTTCTGCCGCTGTTTCTGGTTCAAAAGTGGCTTGACCTGGGGAATGCGGCACCTGTAGCCCATTTCCAGCACACGCCTGTGCACGGTGGCTCTGGATGTTTCTACTCCAGACTCAGTCCACTGCTTCCGCAGGTCCCCCAAGGTCTGGAATCGGTCCTTCTCCACAATCTTTATCAGGGTCCGGTCACCTCTTCTCGTTGTGCAGCGTTTTTTGCCACACTTTTTCCTTCCCACAGACTTCCCACTGAAGTGCCTTGATACAGCACTCTGGGAACAGCCTATTTGTTCAGAAATGTCTTTCTGTGTCTTACCCTCTTGCTTGAGGGTGTCAATGATGGCCTATTGGACAGCAGTCAGGTCGGCAGTCTTACCCATGATTGCGGTTTTGAGTAATGAAACAGGCTGGGAGTTTTTAAAAGCCTCAGGAATCTTTTGCAGGTGTTTAGAGTTAATTAGTTGATTCAGATGATTAGGTTAATAGCTCGTTTAGAGACCCTTTTCATGATATGCTAATTTTTTGAGACAGGAATTTTGGGTTTTCATGAGCTGTATGCCAAAATCATCAGTATTAAAACAATAAAAGACCTGAAATATTTCAGTTGGTGTGCAATGAATCTCAAATATATGAAAGTTTCATTTTTATCATTACATTATAGAAAATAATGAACTTTATCACAATATGCTAATTTTTTTAGAAGGACCTGTATTTACATGTTTCCCTGAAGATAAAATAAGTACAATTTACCCTGATCATCCAATCCAAAAAGTTTTACACCCACCGCCTCTTAATGCATATTCTGCTAAGGGTTTGTGAACTTATAAGTATAACTGTAGTAGAACAATAGAGTAACCACCTCTTTACCGTGGTGTTCATCACTACACACTGTAAACAATTAGCGTAAAATCAACAGTAACTTATTGGCAAGTGGCAACAAAAATCCAGCAAGCATCTGTATTTTATACCACAGTAAAATTACTGTAAAACTAACTATAGTAGTTTTAAGCATAGGTCTTCTGTAAAATTAAGTATAGCATTTGTAGCGATTCTAGCTCAAATAAAGGGAATATAATTTTAAAAACTGATCATGAATATGATCAGGGATCGCATACACAGATTAAAATTACCCGTAAAGGGGATACAATGCCAATGTATCTGTATGGACAGCTAAATACAACGGATTATAATCAATTATCCATACAGGTAGGCACAAAAAGATCAATTGTATATATCAATAATCAATCACAATGAATTATAATTAAATATTAATATGTCAATTGTATAGAATAGATCGATTCCAATGATAACCCTTATGGAATTAATTATGATCTTTCATCAACCCTCAAGAGAAGTTATCCTTATAGACTCGCAAGGAAGGCTATCTTTCTGGCCATGCAAAATAACTTTCCTGTTTTATAAAAATACTAATTAAAGTATCAGCAAATTGTAAAGCTTGTAGCTTATATCAAACATTTAAGGGACTTCGTAATATGAGCAACAGACAGAGTCAATAAATTCATATAATGGATTTAATAAAGGAAAACTACGTATACCGGTGACTAACGTTACAAGGAATAAATGTACTGTATATACATCAAAATAAAGCAACAAACAATGAAAGAAAATGAGAATAAGAGAGTGATAGGCAAAGGGAGAGAATGATCAGTCAGTTATGGCAAAATCACAGACTAAAGGAACCTTGAGAGAGAGACACTAAGATATCAAATCACCCTGAATGGGGTAAACAAATCTTAAACGCCTTGAAAGCTCGATAAAACGAATACTTGCATATATAGTTCTTGTGTTGCTGAGTAAAGAAGGCGTGTGTGCGTCGTTCCTTCGTAGCGTCACGCGTTCTCTCGGGTCTTCCGGAGCGAGCGTAGTCACAGGAGGTTCAAATGTCCATTGAAAGTAAAGTTTGCCAGCTAATTCAGGCTAAGTTCATTTCACTCGCAAGTAGAAATGAACAAAGGAGAATACGAAAAGGGAAAACAAAAACTAAAGAAGACGACTAAAGAGGAAACTGAAGACGGAGGATAACTGAAAAACAAAACAAAAACTGAAGACTAACTGGCGTTCCGTCCTCTTAAGGACAATGAAGTTCACTTAAGGGTTGTGTCAAAGTAACAGTTATAACAAGAGTCACATTAAAACAAATCAAAAAAGGTTAAAGCCGTTTATATTACTTTGACATGGTCAACTTATTGAACATAATTTCGGTAAAATCATGAAAAATTCACCCAGAAGGGAAGTTTTTTTCAAATGTGTGTAAGTGTGTGTGTGTAGTTCTGATATTCCCTATATTATGGACCACAAGTA